GATCTCAAAGCTAGAAAGCTTCCACTGTAGCACAAGCAATATCCTAAAATAGAAAAATGAAAAAACAGAAATGTTGTTTTCCTCTTGCAGAAGTTTTGCAGTGAGAGACCGCTGAAATGGCTCACTCCCAATTGCCTCTTGATCTCCATCGCTCAAAAGAGCTCTCGTCCTAAGGTCCAGAGGGACCTTGATATTGTGCCTATGGCTCTGGTATTACCAGAAACCACCTTAAGGTAATTGAGCTCAGGGTTTGGTCTTTGTGAATCAGTTTTAGGGAAGCTGACAGCTACAAATCCCCATGTTTTTGTTCTGCTGAAAACAGCCTGAAGGTCTAAATTTAACAGTTGATTTCACAATACTCATTTTTCACTCTAAATAAAATCACTCTTGAAAAATAGCACATAAGAGGAATATATTCTCCGGATGCCCAAAAAGCAAACCAAAAAAAGCAAACAGGACAAATGTATCCTCTTTCACAGTTTAGGTTGCTTCTGATGGAATAGATTTGTACTTGAGATCCTGGGGTGAATTCTGTGAATAAAGATGTCAGTTACAGAGCGCAATTCCTGACCCCATTTAGGAGGGAGATACAGCACGTATCTCCAGTGTTCTGGTCAAGGAAAACAATGCCTGCAGATCAAATCTGAGACGTGAATGTTTTCTTCGCATTAGTGAGACAGAAGATTTCTCCAGTATAAGAGAGACTTCTTCATGCACGCAGTTATTCTGATAAATTTCCCCATGTAGACAAGTTATCACTATCACTTACCCCACGCTCACATAACCACAGTGTAATGAGGCCATAAAGTGAATGTAAATATAATTTGTACTTCAGGAATGGCATAAATCACCCTCACATTATGAGGCAATTTACTGCAAATGAGAGTGAGGCCTCCCCAGGGAAAATCTGTTCCAAAGGGTGACAAATGGCATCTTCTACACATTGCTTCCAGATATTTGAAACAAGGTCTGCTTTCACACAAATCAGTGTGGATACAGAGGATGCCTCTTGCTCCTCCTCATGCCTTCTCAGCAGCCCACCAGGCACCACAGACACAGCCAAGCAAATATATTGGAGAGCATAAGATGTGCATGTGTCCTTGGAAGCACAATTTTTATTTGGGAACATCTAGGAAAGCACTGGAATTTAGCCTGGCCCTTGAATGCCAGCGGATTTTGTCAGTCTGGTATTTAGGAAAAAAGTCATTGCACTTAGAAACTGAACATAGCAGAGAAGAGACACCAAGAGGAATTGCACAGAGGCTTCAATAATACAGCGTGCCATGTCACAGCCTCCTAGAACAGGAGATGTGCACCCATTGTGGCTTAGGACTTGCCTTTTGCCATGTCCTGATGGTCCAGGGGATGACAGAGATGTCCCCTCTCTCTGTGCAGATGTATGACTCCATGGACACCTCTGAGGAGCAGGTTCAAAAATGGCTATTGGGGGCATAGGCACATCCCAGATCACCCTCCTGGGTCTGGTCTCAATCTCCCCCACCTGAGTCCTCCGGGTGCCATCCAGGCTGTAAAAGACCTTTCCCAAAATGGTAGGATGCTTGAACCTGCAGGGCACATCCGTGGAGGTGACACCTGTGGCCCACCACCTCTCTTGAGTATTCTCTCCTAGGGAAGCTTCTCATGTATTCACCAGAAGAGCTGCTGGCAGGAGGGCTGGCTCTGCAGTGGGCAGTGTGGATGTGGCAAGCAGCTGGGTGCAGCTGAACGAGCTGCAGTAATAGCAGAAGAATGCAACATGCCTCCTGGGCTGCAAGGCAGCCTGTGAGCAGGCTTGCCCTTGCATGGCTCCCCTGTCACGTGATGGATGAGCAGGTGGTGTGGCATGTTGCTGCTTTCAACTCGTTGCCAGGGCTTGTTTTGAGAAGTGGTGTGCTGCTGTTCAGCATGGTGTGTTTTCAGGTGTCCAGCTGGAAAATCAGTAGATCTCTGCCTGGGCTGTCAGCTCTTGTTCCCTGATCATAGCCATCTCCTTGGGAGAGGCAGGGATTGATAAACTTCACTGGGAAGAGCTGAAGCAGGGCTGAGCATTTGCTCTGTGGTCAGGTTTGTGCAACAGTCCCACCAGCAGTCCCACCCCATGTAGTTTTGCTCCATCTCATTTCCTCTCCTGCCTCAGGTAGGAGCCTTGTCTTCAGGATGTAAATAGTAATAAAAGCAACTCTTTTCATTTCAGTCCTGAGCCTCAGACTCACCAATCACCTGGACCTTTGGTTCAGAGCAGACTGCAGCTTCTCTAGTCTGCCTCGTGTCTGCCTTGATTCATGCCAACCTCCTAGTCCTTCCTAGGACTAGGACTTCCCACTCCTGGAAAACGTTGGGCTTGACTCTGCCTTGCCATATTCACATTTACTTAACATGGGAAGACCTTTCTGCCTTGGGTCGCAGCACTTTCCGGGTGACAAATATTCCCCATTACAACAGACTTTATGTCTGCCTTGGAAAACCTGTGGGCTCAGAGCTAAGCTCCAGCCACTTAGAGCCACAAGCTGTTTGTGTAGGACCTGTGAGTCTGGAGAAATTTGACGGTGAAGCTGTTATTTTGGGTGTTCTTCAGCTGGTGTTGCCTACTTGTTGCGCCCAAACTAGAGTTTAATTCATCTGTATGGTTTGAGGTGAGGCTGTTGATGAAAATTAAGAAAACACAGCATCTTGTGAGAGACCGTCATGGTACTGAAAGTGGTTTTGTTTACAAAGGCCTACTTGTCGGATGGAATTTGTTAGTTTAACATCAGTGAGGCTTTGTTGGCTTGCACACTCAGAGGATTTGGTTCCAGCCCCCAGTCTGTATGGTTTCATAGCAGATAATGAATGCAACATGTTGTGCTTGCTTTTCCTCCCCTTCTCTGAATCTGCAATGCTACTGACCTGAAAATGTTTTCCCACTATGAAACTTTCAATTAGGACACAAATCCTTTTTAAGATGCTGAATGCCACACACTGCCTTCTCTCTGTGTGGGAACAGCTCCACTGTACCAAGAGGAGGTGTCATCTTGACAGGATAGTGATTCCTTGTGGCACTGACTCATACATGGTACGTATGCGCTCATTTTCACATCTTCCTCCTGATCCTGTTTTAGGCTGCATCCTCCACGCTGGGGGAGGTATCCTCAGCCAGCACAGATCTAACCCGGAAACCACAAAGACTGAAAGGATCTTTCATAGCAGTAATGATACCGTGTTCCTCTCCTCTGCAGCTGCATTTTGAAAACAAAAGACCAAGAGGCAAAGTTGCCATCCACAAGCAGAACTTGCAGCTCTGCAGTCATCAGGGACTCGTGCAAATAGACTTAGCGCAGATGCCAGGGAATATGCTTCCTACTGACACCAGGGAACAACAACAAACAAAGCTATAACCTAATCTAGGGTGAGAACAATGTCTATTTTTGCATATTTAGCAAGGATAGGCTTAGACATGAGCTGAGAATTTAGCTTTGACCAAATTTTATTTGCAGTATTTGTAATACTCAGATTGGGTCAATCTATTAATAACTATATATATAGATATATAGTGTAGTAGACTATATATAGTATATGTCGTACTAATAGATAGTAATCTATCTATCACTTCTCTGAAAGAGTGGTCAGGCACTGGAATGGGCTGCCCAGGGAGGTGGTGGAGTCACCAACCCTGAGGTGTTCAAGGAATGTTTGGACGTTGTGTTGAGGTTTAGTGAGAGCTACTGGTGATCGGTGGATGGTTGGACTGGGTGATTCTGTGGGTTTTTTCCAACCTTGGTGATTCTATGATTCTATGATTCTGTTGTAGAAAAAAAAAAAACAACAACAGGAAATATCTGCAAAATAAGGTGGCTCTTGCATTTCCACTTGGTTGCAACTCTGTAGATACTCACATCTGTGCACATATTCCAGCTGCATGAAAGATTTCTTATCAAAAAGATCAGAAGACATGTTGAAGCACAACCATTAGTTAGATGAGTCCATTATTTCAAATGAAATGTAGATGAGTTGAAGTCTATGCACGGATGAATTCTTTTTACTACAATGTTTTGCTAGGCCAGGTTTATTTGTGTACTTCTGGGCTAAGTGCTAGTACAGATAGTACTTCTGAACTGGCAAACAGTAGGTGAGTGACATAAGACAGAAGGCCTGATTTCATCAAGGCTTTGGTATGCCACTTGCTGGAAAATCTATTCTGATAAGTGCCATCCAGTGTTATTAAATGTGGCACTGGAAGATAAACTAAGTCCCTGCCAAGGAACTGCCATTGTGAACTTGTTTGCTCTCGTTCATACAGACAGGCCTGATGTTAGTCGTTAATGGGAAAAGGTCAGTGGGACTAGGAAGGGCTTGGCTACATCTGGCTTTAGCTTCTGAAATCCCCAGCCACATAGCAGCAGTGTAATTCTGTAAGCTTAGTATGTAGAAGTTCAGCTCTTCCTTCTCTTGGACAAATTCAAGAGCATGAACTGGAAGTAAAAAACTGGACCTAAAACTGTGTGGTATTTCGTGTGCACTTGATGTCTCAGTACCCCGTGTGAGAAGAGGACGGTAGAGAATCAAGTTGATGAAGCATGATCTGCTTCTGAGCACCTGACACCCTTCCCCTCTACCCAAGGCTGTCTGAAATGCCTATGGAAAGCTCTTCCAAGAATTCCTCAATACTGTATTTCAGATGTCGTGCTATTTGTTTTCTTCTTCACCTGCTAGGAGTTCACCGCCTTAGCTGCCCAGGGCTTGATAATCTTCTCTGGATCAGTATGCACTGCTTGGATTTCTGACGCCGCCTCTGTGTGACCTGTCCTCTGCTTGCCAGATACTTGCAGGCTCACATGGGGCACCCACGCTCAGATGGAGATACTGGAATGGCTTATTTCTTCTGAGTTGGTCAGGATCACACCTGTACCACCCTAAAATAAGAGCATCATATCAAATAGCACTTGGTGCTCCTGAATGCATTTGTCTTCTCCAACCTATGAGGCAGGGAAGAGCTATTTTCTCTCTGCTGTGGAAAGGAAACAGAAGAACTGAGACGCCAGTGCCCACATCTACAAAGGTATTTAAGCTCTCTCTGGGATCTGAGCATCGTGGCCAAGTGATCTGTTGATAGTCACACACAGTCTGGGACAGCAGGTGCCTAAAGCCATGCTTCCAAAGCCCTAAGCTACAGCCCTTATTGCAAGGATTGGATTTCTCCAAAACTCCTTTCAGGATCAATTCTAAGAAAGGGCTGACATGCTGGTGCCAGTTCCTCTGGTTACTTTCCATGGTGCCCCATGTCCCCAGACGTGCTGTGCAGGGTCCTTTACAGGGGTTGCTCTCAGCACCTCGTGGCAACCAGCTCTGCTTGTTCCTGGTGGGTGCTGTGGAGGAAACCACCTGTTGCTGTAAATCTGTTGGCGTTTCCTCATCTCTTCTGCATCCCCTTTCAATTGCTGTAACTACATCTGTGTGACCTGTTCTCTCCTGCTATGTAGAAACTTGGGCAGTCACACGGGGACATGTAGGGTAACTTGTACTCCCCTGACCCTGTAATTATAGAAGGGTCAGTTTATTTCCAGAAAGTATAGCTTACATATGGTTTTCCTTTCATTATTTTGGATGGAGTGACTTGTCAGCTAGAAGGGCTCTGCTTGTTCCCTGCAGCAACAGCAAGTAAATACCTGACCTATTTAGAAAAACATAAAGGAAACAATAGAGACCTGGAGAAGTCTTTGGATGCAAGATGCTTGCTGAACTGTGTGTGACCCTCTGAAGAGCAACATTAGCTTAAAATATTAGTGCATGTTATTTAGTGAAGATAAAAGAATATTAGAGAAAATATACAAGTCTTGAGGTCAAAGGTTCCTGTGCAGTCCATTTCCCATTGAAATCAAATCACCAAAATGAGGAGGTCAGCAGAAGTTTGCTTGAATTTGGATTGAGAGAAAACAAGGAAAGCTTCTTGCTCGCTCCGGGGAGTGCTGTTATCAAGAAGATCTCATCATAACAGAACAATGTCAGGATTTTCAAAATTAATTAATTGGTTTGCTTGCCTCTCTCGAAATGGGCAGAGCAGAGCAACTTTTGGGAAGGTGTGAGAAGCCACTGAGCACCATGGAGACCCATGCTTATCCTAGAAGTGTTAGCCAATACCTTGAGTGTGCTTTGAAGTATTTTACCCATCTAATGTCAGGTCAGACTCCAGGGGATAAATTAGGGAATTTAGACATGGCTGAAGTCTTTCCTTCTGCCATCTTGGACATCTGTGCTCTGCATCACTTTTTGTGCTGAGGCAAGCACATAATGTCCAAAGAATGGAGATGCCTGATGTAAGTTTTAAGATTTCAGGATACACTGAACTCACCAATGCAGGTGGTGAATGCAGAGTCCTCAGGAGTGGTGTTTGGAAGACAAGGTTGAAGAACTCCTGTGGTTCACAAATTCTACTTTGGAACTGGATAGTTGAGTACTGCCAGTTCCTAGAATCAGCTTAAAGTTAACTGAGTGATGGCAGTTGCCCAAACATCCTCACAATCCTCTATTTGCAGGCAGTTTTCATCACAGTACAGACAAAATATGTTTTTTAAAAGCAACACAGCCTGCAGGTCTCTGTCCTCACCACCAACTCTATGAAATTTAAGCTACCAAAAAAGAAAGAGGGAGAGAGTGAATTCTTACAAATAATGTAACTGGATAACCTTGAAAGTGTCAAAAAAATGTGTGAGACTTTGATACATTTTTATCCTCTTAAAATAAAACAGATGCTGAGGGAAGGCTATCGTAAGGCATCTCAGGAAGGCTGGTGCAAAATACTGAAATAGCTAAAATATTTGTTTTTTTTCCAAGAGAAAAGCTAAGAATGGGCTCCCCAGGGCAGTGGGCATGGCCATGAACTGCTGGAGTTCGTGGAGTGTCTGGACAGTGCTCAGACAGTGGTTTGAATTTTGGGTGGTGCTAGGGTGGAGGCAGGTGTTGGACTCGATGATCCTTGTGAGCCCATTCCAATTCATGGTATTTTATGATTTTCAATTAATCTGAATTTTGAAATAAGGTTTCATGAACACTTTTCACATCCAGGAACATGACGAGAGACTTCTAGCTTATGTGAGAGACTGCCTCCAGGCAGAAGAGCCATTACTTAAGCAACAGCATTTCTGCTCCCCAGGTGTGACGCTGCTTGTATTCGGGTTCTTTTAATAAGGCCATTCTTCTCCTGAAGGGTCTGTAACTCCATATTTAATCCATTCTTGATTTCAATGGAAGGCAGCGTACAGAAACAAATTGTAACGACAGAAGGTGGGGGCTAACTTCAGCTCTATTATTTAGAAAAGGCTTTCCTAACATCGCTAGTCTTTAAAAGAGCATTTATTATTTTTTGGCAGCCTCGCTCAGAATCAGACCTCCATTCATTTTATGCCTCTCAGTATTTATCCAGCACATCATCTGTTCATGTAAGTTCATCGTTATGTTCATTTAAGAGCGCAGTGTTCTGTTACTGTAGGTGTGGTTGCTTTGTAAATAGCAGATAGCTGCAGTGGGACTGTACAGAAGCTGCCTTTGGCAGTTCATGAGAGACAGCATTTTTTCAGGCTTTAGAGGATTTGTTTGCAATACCTCTGTGGGGTGGGTAGCATCCTTATTGTAATGGTGTGGCAATGGAGACACAAAAGGAATGACATATTTTGCTTGCGATCACTCAGGAGCTCCCTTCTCATTTGACTGCCACCTAACTGCTGCTGGTGTACACCGAGAAACCAACTCTCACGTCCACTAGTAGTGATAATAGGAGTAAAGTATGAAATATGGGAAGAAATGGCTGCCAGGAGAGTCCCATCTGTTCACCAGGCACTGGGATCACAGTCCGTCTCCCTAGGGATGCTTTGCACTCTCCTGAAAACATAACCTAATCCCATGAGCGGATAAAAGGTCAGACAGAGAGGATAATGTGCTCCTGAGCTTCTGGCTCCTTTGACATTTTCCCTGTCTTGGACAAACCTCCTCTCTTTCTCAGCAGTTAACTGAGTACAAATCTCAGTATTCTCCTCCTTATGGTTTATTATGAATTTATTAGGAAAAAAACCCAATCCCTTCAGCTATGAAAATCACCCTCTTATGTCTATAAATAGGTTTAACCTCTTAAACTGTGTCAGATGCTGCTGATTCACCAATCTGATCCAGATCTTCAGATATTCTCTGCTCCTGCAGCTCCAGGGCAAGTGACTCATGCTGTCTACAAGTGCAGCATCCCGCTGAGCCTGGCAGAACCACGATTCTGCTGACAGTGCCTGCAGATTTCTACTGAAACCTGGGCAAGGGATTTTCTCCAGATCAAGGTGAGCTCACCAACATCCTGCAGCCCTGCAAGCTGTATTGTATTTACGTGAAAATCCATGCACTAGTCCAACCACAGATCAGCAGAGGAAAAATGTCTTATAGAATCAAAGAAATATGATAAAGGCAATACCCAACTGATACATGTAATCACCTCCCCAGCTGCATTTCCCTAGCAAGCCTAGCAAGGTTTGTCTGTCCTGCCTATCACCTTATTTTTGAAATTGCCTTGGAAATCTGAAAGAGAAATGCTGAAGTATTTTCAGTCAATCTAAGTGGTTTTTATAGTTTGTATCTGATAATCAGAGAGCCTTATCTGGCTGTGTGTTCCTTCCTTGCTCTGTAAAGCAGGAAAAAATCACATTCTCAGGCATTTTGTTTTGTTTTGTTTTGTTTTTGCCAGTTACCTTTACTGTGGAAGGGGAATATCTGGATGTTGAAAAGCAGCAGAAAAAGCTCTTTTCCTATATATGTTCTAGGGCGATAGTGTCCTTCCAGCTGTGGGGCACCTGGAGACAGAAGAGGATGGCATTAGCTGATGCCTTGCCACCACTTATTCCATGCTTCCTTGAGCCTTAGTACTTGTCTGGTCTAATTTGTGTGCTGATCAGTGTGATTGTGTGCTGGTCAGTGTGCCAGGAAGCCACTAGGAAGAGCTAAATTTTATCTCAGGTGTACTTCATTTATCCAGGTTAAGGTGTAAGGTGTTGCTCTTGCTTAATGAATGAGCTGAATGCTCTGAAACTCTGCTGATAACACTTTGAGGATCATCTGCATCCTCTGCTCTGCATCCCTCGTAAAATCTTTAGGGTAAAGACTACTGTGTTTTACATTGCAATCACAAGTAATGGACTCTTGGTTTGAAAGCTATGATTAATTGTGCATGTCATTTTTAAAAACAGAAGATTAAGCTTGGAAGGGCAAACACAGTTTTGACTTCTCTGTCATTTACATTTCAGTCTGCAGACCACTCTTCTTTCACTGAGTGTTATTCCGGTGAGGGTCCAGAACCTTCTCTGACTGGAGAAGAAACTGACTACTTGTACTGACATTTGTTTGAAGTTATCATGAGCAAAAAGACAACTCTAACAGAGTTAGACAGGCTCTATTTAGAGCCTAAATCTCTTATCTTGAAGACTTTGGAACTTCAGTCAGCACCTCTCAAGCCCAAGTACTGCTTTCATATAAAAAGGACTGAATTTTTCCTTTAATACCACAGTTTCTTGAAAGACATTCATAGGACTTCTCAGTTTTCACAGAATCATAGAATCATTTAGGCTGGAAAAGACCTTTAAGATCATCAGCTCCAACCATCAGCCTGAACTACTGAGTCCTACCACTAAACCATGTCCTTGTTCAAGGCTTGAGCTGGTGCCTGGTTAAGCTGCTGGGAGCCTTCTCCTTCGGATGCCCTGTCTATCTGTGTCTGTACTGCTTGCATGAGCATGAGTTTGTTCATGCTGTAGCTGGGGAAATTTGGGATCCTATTAATAGTTAATCCATGTGCAAACTCTCTTGAAAGGGGATCCAGGGCAGAAGCGTGGCCTAAAGCTCACAGCTGTGGGCAACATAGACACAACCTGGGTGACAAGACGTCCTTCCAGACCTTTGCACAGGACAAACCCTGGGAAAACACCTGGCAATGGCAGCAGGAAGATTTGTGCTCTGCCACTGGGAGCCTATCTGTGAACCGCAGTGCAGAGCAGTAGAGTCTCCTCCAGGACTCGGCCCTTTGCTTGCCCCCAAGGGATGCCATCCTGCCAGGTGGCAGCAGGCTATGGCCACTCATGCCCTGATGCCCTGCACTGGTTTCCTGTGTCACACTTGATAATGCTGTTTATGCCAAAGGCAGAATTTTCGTGACAGGGGCCATGCTCTGTAGTGCTCAGGCTGTCTGTAAGAGTAAGAGCCCTGCCCAGGGAACAGATAAACAGAACAATGTTTGAGCCTCTGGTACTCTTTAAAGTCATTTTCTGGGAAACGTATGTGTCATAACAACATAAAGCAGGCATATTTCCCTTGCTTTCGATCTGCCTGGTGCCAGGGTCTACGTCATTTCAGCACTGAAGCAGATCCAGCAAGTTCATGGTAACTTTGCTCTCCCCAGAGCTGCCTCTTTTGCCCCCTTGGTTTGTACTTGCATCTTGCCTTGCAGCAGCTTCCCTCACCCTTGTCAGGGTGAACATCACATCTGTTATGGTTAATATCTCATTTTCATGGGAAGCCCTTGGGAACTGGGCCCTTATCTCCACATACCATACACATCAAAACTGTTTAATCAACATTATTAATTCCAGGACTGGCTGCTGATCTGGATAAAACACTGTGCTTTCCCAGCACCAAAGGTTCATAGCCAAGCTGCACATTTCAGCAGCTCTCATACAGATTTCTCTCTGCTCCTCAGGGCTGGACACATTCACCCACTGTCCCCCTGCTCTTGTAGAAAGGTGTCTGGAATCTGCACTAAGGGTCTGGTCGATTTTGGTTGTTTTGCCAGACCAGGAGCATCCCACTACCTTGAAAACTGGGGTTTTAAAAGGAGTTAAGAGTCCCTGGTGTCATTTTCTACAGTCTTGGGGTGTCATTGCCACTTCAGGGCACCCACAGAGCACATGTGCTCAGAACTTTGGCCTAAGAATGTGCAAGAGGAAAGAGAAACTTCAACAAGGAGCCAAGTCCAGGGGAAATTTGTTCTTAAGGCCGTGGCATCAGTGTACCTGAGGATGGGGATGTGCCTCTGCTCTGATCCAGTGAGTCTGTCTTGTTTAGGGAGGTGTAATGGAACATGGCTCCTTCAACAAGACCCAGAAACAATTTTTGGGAAGACTGCATATGGGAGGACTGGATAAAAGAGGATGGGTTATAAATAGATATCTCCTGACCAGATGAAGAGGTGGACCGTTTTCTGCCACATTTCCCCACCTCCAGCAGTATTTCACCCTGAACCTAAAGCATCTCCAACGGTGGTGGGGATGGCTTGTGATTACAACACTTCAAGGTATGCAGCTAAAGGCTCGGGACTTCTCAAGACACGCTGCTCCTTGCTTTTCTCGGAAAGAGTTCTCACAGCAAGAAAGCAACGCAGGCAAACAAAGCCACACAGCAAAATGACAAGCAGCAGCTGGAACACGTGGGCAGCCCACAGAGTGACAGGGCAGTTGGGCTCCTTGCTTCTCTGCTGCTGTTTTGGAAACCTCAGTAAACAGAAGAGCCCAGATCAATCTCAGTGCTCCGGCACAAACTCGGTACAGCCCCATTGACTTTAGTGACAAAACCTGAGATACATGTTCCTTCCTATGCATCATGCACAAGCTAGTCTAAAAAAGCTGCTGAAAACACCATTAGCTGCCCACTAGTTAGCAGGTCTCAGCTTGTTGCAGGGAGGAATTTGTGCTCATTTGTGTCACGAAGAATACGAGCGTTTAATGTCTGTGGGGGAGCTTTAGCAGCTGGAAAAAAGAAAGTATGTATGTTTATATTTTGAAAAAAGGGATTGTTTTTGCCGCTCTCAATTATTAATGTCTCTCAGGTCAGGCTAAGGAACAACGCCAGGGATAAGTTACCCCGTGTACTATTCAGATATGCTCTCCCCAACTGTTTCCTTCTCAGCTAGAGGATTCACCTCGCAATGAACTCCTTAACGGTTGGAAAAAAGACCGACGGAGGCTGAACTCGCTGTGCCCGTTTATTTATGCAGAAACAGCTTTTCAACTTCGTCAGGTGTGTTTAATCAAAAAGAAGCAGGAAATGCGTTATGATTATAAACACATATTAGTGCACAAGCAAAAGGCCGCCCTTGGAAAGGATCGCACTGTTTGAGAAATGGTTACAGTGAAAAAGCACAGGCTTAACCTATGGAGCTCTTTGCTAAGATCAAAGCGGTGCTGCCTACTGCCATGAGCTGTCTGGGTGGTGGGGTTCAGCTGTGGGCTTCCAGTGAGGGAAATGGAAGAAGGTTAAAAAGAAAGTGTTATCATCTTTCTTTTTTCTTTTGCCTAAAACATTTTCCCTAGTCTAAAAAAATGACTCAAACGTTAAATATTTGCTGTTAAAATTAATAGAATTAGTGAAGATTCCAGCTGAGAACACAGTAATTAGGGCCTGGTCCAAAGCCCATGGAGAAACTCATTGTTTTCAACAGGGTCTGGCTCAGGGCCCTGGTGAGACAAAGCGAAGATGGAGTTAAGGCACAGCCCTGGGACAGCTTGGATTCCCCACAGACTTTCCATGTGACTGTGCCCAAACTTGCACACGTTCCTTAGTCCTGAGCACAACCAACCTCAAGCTGCTGCAAAAAGCAAATATCCTGCTGGGCTGCGTGGCTGGGTGTACTGTGGGTAAGATGCAGGAGGGATTCAATGCACTTCTTTGGCACCATAATGCTGTGCTTAAAATAAAAAATAAAAAAAAAATAATACAGACAAATTGGAAATTGCCCAAGGGAGAGGAACAGAAATGATAGGAGGTCCAGAAACATTACTTATGAGGCAAGATTGAAGGGGCTGGGTTTGTTTAGTCTACAGAATTCAAAGTGCTAAAAAACTTCAAAAATGTAAAGAATGATGTGACACCACAGAGGGTAATCAATTGCCCCTTAACTATGTGGGGATAGCTGAATGTACAGCAAAAAAGTTTTAGGTTGTTGAACGCTGAGAGGTTACTAAAGCACTCTAGTGTGTACGCTGGGGAGGGAGCAAAGTGTCTCTCATGGGAGATTTTCAATGTGCTGGACATGTACGTGTGATGAGGGATTGGGTAACTTGCGAGCAGCCTGCTTTCAGACTCAGTCCTACAGTTTCCGTGATTTAGTGACTGTTATGGGACACTCAGATATGAGACTTTGGAAGTGATGAGTCTTCACAGCCCTCCTTGATTCGGGAAAATCCAGCAGCTGCTCTGCCCTCAAAATCAAGTATCCTTTCTGCAAACCCTCATTTCTTTGGTCTCCACAGTTATGAAATAAAGAGCAATACCCACATCTGCATGGAGCCACAAACATATTTGTGAAGTATCTTGCTTCCCTCCAATAAGGGATTCCCATTGAATCGAACACTTGAATGCTCACACATCAGGATGATGAGGCCTCTGGAAAAGCACATGATGATTCAGAAAGTGTAGGGGGTAGTGGTGGCCCTGCAGACCAGGTTCAGAGAAGTCTCCTCCTGACATTGGAGGAGGGGTTGCCTTGCTAACTCCTGCTAGAAGAGCTTTCACACGTATCACCACTAAGCACAGCTGCAAAGCACTTGGGAGGGTAAATAGATATTGCTCTGAGTGGATCAGGTGGTGGCCAGAGTCTGAGCAGACAAGCAGCATCCCTTCTCCTTTTAGCTCCGGCCCTGAGGCAATAGAGCCCTGCCCTGAAAGAACGGAGGGTGATGTGAGCCTCCTTAAAGGCCAGGGGAAGAATGCTGTGCTCAGCACTGCTGTGACTGTTCCTTTTCTTTGCACTCCGTTTCCTGCCCAGTGTCAGTTATGAGAGGTACTATTTGGTCCTTGTGTGAATACTGAGAAAATTGTTAGTTATATGATATGGGAATTAAGAAAATCTGTCTGCTTCCAAGCATAAACCAATGACTGTGACAACGATTTGCAAATACAGGGTTATGACCCCAAGTTGGCTTTTTTTCCCCCTCAGTTCTGGGTACAGTCACGAGCCTGGCAGGAATCCGTGTGAGCTACAATGTGTGGCAATGACTGGCGTCTCCCAGAGTCTTTGAGCTGAGTGGGATCACAACAGGAAAAAGTTTGGGAAAGTGCCACTGAGAGTTTAGGAATAAACAACTCCCATGGGCAGGCTGTCCATAATTGGCCATGACAAGGCTTCTTTCTCCAGAGAGCCAGAGCTGGCCTGTGAGGAAACAGAATGAATCACTGCTCTGGTCCAATTTGGCAAGTGCTGTGATTTAGCCCTGCTTTGCACGGGAGGAGATGATGATATAGACTGAAAGGCAGGAGAACTGTAGCCAGCGGCTTCCGAGCGGGGGGATGAGTTTGGGTTTCCACTTATTTCTTGTTGGTTTACTCAGCTCCTTAGAAGGAAACCCAGGCAAAAACCACTGATACAAAAACAGTTCCCTTTATCAACAATGTAGAGGAGACAATGGGGACTCCTCAACACAAAGCTCATACAAACAAAAATAAACATTTTATTTTGCATTGTTAAAATAGCATTCAATATGCAAGTCCTCCTTCCAACCTCCAGCTTTGTTAACTATTTCTGTTGACTTTCTGCTTCTGGTTACAGATTTACAAGAGGATATCATAGAGGTTGGAACTAGTGTCCTGCAACATGGTGATGACCACGTGGCTGTGCAGCCTTCTGTGAAGAGGATGGTTGAGTGTGGTTTCCTCAAGCCACCCTGTGCCCTTGGAAAAGTCCCACTTTCTTCTGAATATGAGGAAAATGGTGTGTATTTTATGCTATTCTTTTTCTAGATGGTGGTCACCAGAGCAATCTTAAATGCTCCTTGTTATCTCAACAATCTTACCAAGCCTAATAATCAGTTCACAGCCTGCTCAGTATCTGATGATTAATCCCCTCCCATAAAAATACTGGCAGAACCCCATAAAAATATTGGTGGAGCCAGAGCTGCTCTGCCAAGTGGCAGACTTAGATTTGCTCTTCTTGGAAAGCTGGTTTCCTGTCACTGGCATTGTCTCATCACTGCTTTCCAGTGGTTTGGAAAGAGGAGAAAGGGAAAAAGATGTTTCACCCAAATACATCATCTCTTTTACATCTCCTTTCCTCCATCTGCTCTTTTGTTATTTCTAATTTCAGGAATACCATCAGCTGAAGATCTTCCTAACCAACCCTACTTCTATCCTCAGTGCAAAGGAAAAAGGAAGCTTCCTTCAAAGCAAAATCCTTCCAAAAAGAAGCCACAGATAATCTTTATTTCCATTACCCTTCTGCTCCTTCGAAGAGCAGGCAATTGAAACAAAAATCTTCACTGCAACATGAAAGAGAGGTATCTCAAGAAAATCAAATCTGCATCTTGTAATGTAAGCATTTAGATCAAAGCATCAGCCTTTTAATATTTTTTATATCAGTTTTCTATTGATATTAGAAACATTAAAAGTGTCAGTCTCATAAGATGTTTACTGCTCATGCAGACAGATGCTTCCAGGCTGGCTACACATTCAGAGCTTGGGGCTTCCTATTCCAAATGTTGCTGCAACTGGAAATAGAAAACTTGGTCGACTTGAAGCAGTATGGGCCATGACATGCAGCTGAATAGTTCTGCTTCTTTGCATGCTAACATAAATGAGGTTACCCAGATTTTACTTCCTCTGGAAGTACCAGCACTCCTGTCTGCCTTTCACTTCAAAGTCTTCACAAGGCTAAATCCTGCACCAGGTTCCTACCCAGTAATTTTTCCTGCTTTCTCTTGAGATTATGGATAATGCCTGAAGGCAGGACTTCAGCAGTGCCACATGCAGTATTGGTCAGATGAATATGGCATGAGCATGAAGATCATGATCTTTCTGGCAGAGTAATTGGGGAATGACCAACCCCACTAGGACCTTCAAGAACAAGAGTTGTTGGGACTACAGGATGATTCTCTGTGCTCTATGCAGAGCAAGGAGGAGGAAAACAACAAACACCTGGGAAGTACCAAATGTAATTCAGAGAAGGTTAGAACAGGGTACACACTGGAGTGTAAGGCATCCATGGTCAAAGAGTTTGTGTGGCAGTTTTCCCTTTGGTGTCCATGTGTCAGTCTCTGGGTCATAGCAGTCCAAAGAATCTGAATCTTCAATGACATTGTCCACAGTGAGACATCGTCCTCCTGTAACATACAGCTTGTTCTTGATGACAGTGGCCCCATGATGCATTCGCCTGTCCCTCATGTCTGCACATTTGACAAACTTGTTGCCTTTTGTATCATAAGCAATTATTCTCCGAGTGTATCCTAATGCAAAGATGGAGATAGAAGAGACAGATGCGAATTAGGGTTAGTGGCTCAGTTCATACTGGTACATAATTTGGCAGAACTAAGATATCTAAGATGGGAAATAATGATCTGTCACAGAACTGCTTGCCTGTATACCTTCCTGTTTGTCTTCATCCTGTCTCCTATCACCTTGACAGCTAAGGCTCAATGAGCACTGGTGGCAGTCAACCTACTGAACACACTTGGAGCTTGCAGTTTTCCATATGCACTTTCAGACGTCCTTAAGTATTTCCCTTTACCCAAAAGGCTTCTAGAGCTTCACTCAGAAATATGGAAACCAATGGTATGTAGGAAGCCAGAAGGGACAGGGGGAGCAACAATGCCTTTCTGGGTTGGAGTTGCAGCTGTAAACCAAACGGTGCTGTGTACATGATAGTGTGCTCCCTCTGCTGCTTATTCCATTCCTGTACCCTCCGTGTCACTTCTGTGTTGTCCACCGTGCTGGCAGCCCAGCGGTTGGCTCTACCACCGAGGGGTAGTTCAACCTCACAGCACTGAGAGGCAGGGGCTGGTATGGGTCATGAGCAATGGAGGTAAGAAGTTTGTTCCCCAGCAGTAGCTTGTCTGTGTATCTCTTGTCTATGTAGATAATCAAGAAAGCTCATGGCAAGCAAACTGCTTTGGGCCTTGTTGTGCAGGCCTTGAATCCACTTTCCCTAACCTGATACCATCAGCATCTGGGGTCAACACAGGCTCTTCAGATAAAAGGTGCATTGCAAAAGGTAGCAGTGGCCTCTTGTAGGGAAACACAGTGCTTTTGAGTCCTATGTTATACAGGTTCACTCCTCTGTTAATGCTTCTCTATGTCTCATTCTTTCTTAAATAATCTAACGTGCTTTCTCTTGCCAGATTCTAGTCAGGGAAGCTGCATTAAGGACTGTGGAGTGCTGAGCTTGGTCACTACCAATGTGATCTGTCAAAGTGCCATGGACAGAGACGGATTCTTGTGTTGAACAGGTTGGAGAAGTTTCTCCTCTCCAGATGGCTCATGCCCCTCTCAGAGCATTTCTCCATTGCCTCCAGGAGGCAGCTGCAGGAACAGTGGACCTCTCAACTCCAGCAATGAGCCCCTTAACCCACCCATCCCAACAAACTGCCCATGGCCATGTGGAAACCGTGCTCTTTACCTTTCCAAGGAAAGCCTTCAGAGAGGAACAAGCTATGAGTAAGAGGAGGGGCAGAGCCCCATGCCTTTTTTCTTCCTTGCTTCCTCTACAGAGAAGTAACTCACAGGCTTTACCCCATTTTTCCCCACTTAAGTCCTGTTAACAGAGTGAGAAGATGCCTGTAAATAATTTGTCCCCACCACCTTCATGGCCCTGAAACCCCATGCGAGATGTGTATGGAGACTGGGCATAATCCACTTCTCCCTCACAAGTGCCACATGCTGTTGCAGCTCGTACGTGACTTTTGCTCCTGCAGCATGATAGCCATGCTCAGCATCAATGATTCTCATTGCTGACATAGCTGGCTGCCACTCTGATGATCCCTGGCCAGAGCAGTGTCATCCTGAGCAGGAAGCATGCAAAATCTTGCAGGATCTGTATATGTGCAGGCAGGAGGGTGGGTGAAAAAGAGTCCTTACCTCCCACGATAACAATCTGGTCTCCAATCACAACAGCTGGAGCACAGACGTTCTTCACCACTCTAGTCTCCATCCGAAACCACATATTCCTGGAGACATGGTAAACCTGACAAATAAATAAAGATGCACACACAGCTGTTTATGCTGCTTTTTGACTGGCAGTTGTAATTACAGAGAAATTTAAGGTTTTTATTTTGTCTTAATGAATACAATCCACGGGCTTGAACTGCTGGGAATTTTTTACCCACTCCTTTTTTCCTAGTAAGTCCCCTTGGAAAGCATTTGTGTTCCCCTGGATGGGCTGCTCAGCACGTACAATAAGGCAGAGAGTTTCTGTCCTGTGCAAGCTTCTTCACTGTAAATTATCCTATGGCCACTAAGTTGCTGTAACTCCTGGCTAACATTCTCCCAAAACCCAGGTCACATCCCTTCATTTTCCAATTTTCTGTGTAGTTCTGCCTTCCTTCCCCATTTCCTGGGCAAGCCAACTGCAATTTCACCTAGCTCTGCTGGCAGTCTGTGTTTGCCCTGCTGCTATATTTGTGCTGGTGGCTGGTATGCACTCAGGTTGGCAAAGAGACTTGTTGATGGGACCTAGAGTGATATCTAAGTCATCAATTTATGTGAGAAAAAGAACTGCTGCCAGATGACGATCACTCAGTCATCTGTGTGTGGGTGACATAAACTTTTATGTCACGTCATCCACTTCTCAGTATAGCAAATATCTTCAGGACATCTCCCCACGTTGATAATCATGTTTCCTTTGCCTTGATAATTAAGTAACATTATCATTATAAGTAAGTATTGCTCAAGTGCTGGCTGCTGTTTTGGCTTTTAGTGGTGCTTTTTAATTAAACTACCTAAACCAGTGAAAAACACTCAAGTGGAAAGTAACATTGCATCACTAAAGCATCAAATCAGATAAGGAAGGATTTAATATCTTTCACCTTCCTAATATAGCTTAACTACCAAAAGCAGGCAGAGAGCCAGCAACATGTGGCAGACTTTTAACACAACTGTTTATGTGAAATAACTGTCAGTTTAAGCTCTGGTCTTTTGATGAGTGTGAGTCTAATTGCTCTAATGATCTCAAACTGGCATCTTTGCTGTCACTGCAAAGGAGCAGATGTGCAGCTGAGGCTCCAGCTTAGCTGCAGGCTGGCCAAGCAACAAGCACTGATTTGGGTGAATGGTTACAAACGTGGAGGTGGCCATGGGGTCAGTTATTGCCTGCCATAGCAGCATCCCCCAGGAGCTCCCAAGACTTCCGTAGGAAATTCTCCTGTGACAGAGTCAGAACCAGAGGAAGGGCCTCAGGCCTTATGTCTGAAAAATATTCCATGGGGAAAATGAAAGAACAACAATGCTCCTTAGACTCAAGACTTCCTTGAAGCAATGGTCAACTCGTCCTGCCTGCTGTTGCAACTCACAAGAAAGTTTTGTTTTGGAATTGACTTCTTCATCAACGTGATGATGAACCACAGACAAATTGAGGCAAAACTGCCTATGTCAAGGAGGACTGACTGTTACCTGGATAAGCCGGACAGGGTTTTGCATAATGTCTTCTCCCCCAAAAAGGTACACCCTCTGGTCTTTGGCAGCAACAGCAGGATGAAGGACAGCAACAGGCATGTTTGCCATGCTCTCACAGGTGTTGTAGATGCTGTCATATCTTTCCACAGAATTCAGGATTTCTTGGTTTTCACCAATTCCACCGAATGATAAAATATAATTTTTATATGCCAAGCTTCTGTGGGAATAACGTGGAACTAGCATAGGCTCAACCAACCTCCACTGATTGAGTTTGAGGGAGTAAATGTAAATATTATCGCTGACTGGACTTTTCTTGTTGCTAACAGGCATCCCTCCAAGCACATAAATATTACTGTGTAAGCTCACTGCAGATGCTTTGTACAGGCGCACAGGAAGTTTGGCCAGGCTTAGCCATTGATTAGTCTTGTCATCATAGAGCAGGACATCCCTTGTGGTCTGCTGGTTGTCCTTCCTGCCACCAATGATGATGAGGAACTCTTGGTTGGAGTATCTGCGAGGAACGTGTACCATTGGCTTGATGTCAGGTGCGTTGGTGCTGTACAAGGAGAACATCTGTCTCCGAGCTGACTCGAGAATGCTCCTGCAAGTGGGTGAAGACTGAACAAGGGAGTCATTGGCAATGAAATGGAAGAGGAAAGTTGGATGGACGTACTGAAGCCGGACCTTCTTGAACAAGTCTTGGATGTAGCGCTGTCTTGCCTGCAGGTCATGCCGGATCCAGACCATGAGTGTCTCGAAGACCTGCTCCTCCTCCCCACAGAGCTCATCATCCCCAAGGTAATCGAGGAGCTCCAAAGGACAGAGATCCTTGAGGTCCTCAGAAGAGGCCACTTCAGGAAAACATTTCAAAGCCATAGTCTTGGCCTTCTTATTCAGGCTTTGGCAGTTCAAGATTTTTGCCAGTCTG